AAGAGACAGGCTCTCCCCCTCCCCTCCAACCTCTCCACTCTTTACGTATCAGCAAGAGAACAGCAAGTTTCTGGAACCTCATGACAAACTTGGAAGATATTTTTCTTTCTCAAGAGCAGCCAAAACCCATTTTTCAATCTTTTCCACACTAACAACCTTCTCTCTACGCACTTCCGTGAATGAACACGACAGAGTCCTTTTACAGTACGTGGATTGTCAAGTTTTCTCGTCTGTTCCAACATTCTGAAATATGAACTAAACTTCAGACTGCATTTTGTACATGCATATTATTGAACTACTATCCAATCTATCAAAACAAATGCTAAACACGCACACAAAGTCTTTTTAGAAGATATTACAAACTTTGTTAGAGCAGAATATTTTCCGTTGGAAGGGACCTACAATGATCATCTAGTCCAACTGCAACATAAGAGGAGCACAAATAATAGAAATGGAGCAGGGAAAAGGAAAGAGAGGAGAAGTACAGCAAATCCCTGTGCTGCTCAGCTCTCAGCCAAAATTCAATCTTCTGTGTACTGTGCATGAGACTTGCTAATGTACTGTGTGATGAGGGCAAAGAGAACTCATTGAGACAAGGCGCACCTGCTAAAACTGGCAGTAAAACCAGTTGACTACTGCAAATCAGAAGTGCCCAGTGCAAACAGAAAGCAAGTCTTTGTTCTTCTGGCACAAGAGAACTCCTTTACTGCAAGTACCACATACAGATCAAACATTTACAAGCAAAAGAAAAGAAGCTAGCCAAGGGATTTATATTAAAGGCGTGAAAGAAAACAATAAATGTACCACTGAGTCCCATGCTCAGGCAAGCTCTCCTCGAGCAGTTCTTCCTCTGAAGGAGAGCTGCAAGGAGACAGCCTGAGCCAACAGTTTCTACAGCAACTGCAGAAGCACCAGTACAGTGATATTCAAACCCTGCAGTAACTGCAGAAGCGTCAGTAAATGGATACTCCAAATACTGAAGGAACATTTGGCAGTTTCACCTGGACTCTCTCTACCTCACTGGGCAATTCATTGATCCCAATCAGCTGAGGTCAACTCTGTATTTGCCTGCTTCTCTGCAAACTCTTCTGAATCCTCTTTACCCTTACGAGTCTTTCAGTACATTTGTTCCCCTCCAAAATTCAATGGAGCTTGACACAGCCGTCAGAGGAAATTTTGTAGACATGGTGCTGGAAGAATGACCAACATCATCCTGTAAGGGAAAGGCCAACTGCATCGTTGTGTGGTGCTGCTGCAACTTCTCACCGAGGGTGGAATGCTGTTATGACAATGACACCATGCCCGAGGTGCATTACTAAAAGCACATTTGGAAGCATCTCAACGGGAACCAAAACAGAGGTGTGTTACCACCCAACAACACAGAAAAAGCAGATCCATTTGTAATGTGGTTATTTTAACACTAATGCAGGAGCTGTATTAAGGATCAAAAACATTGCACCTATGCACTTAGTAAGTTTTGCAACTAAGAACTGTAATTTATTGAAGAATGTTGAGGGCAAGCCATCTCTCATTTCCCATTTAAGAATCTGCTTTAATAAGTCACAGTGCCTCAACAGTCGCAGCTTTATCAGTAATTCCATATAAGTGCTCCTTGCAAGAGTTTTTTCTTAACTCTGCAGTCTTGCTTTGTTTCACACTGAAACTTGGCATGAAGCTCAGGCTTCTGACCCACAGCAAGAAGTTGAACAACGTTGCTTGTTTGTTTTTGAAAGGGTCAGGAAGTCTCCAGTTTCAGGTTCTTCAGTGTTTGGGGTGGAGGGGAGCAATATATACAGTCACAGTTCGGGAACATTCAGTATCCAACCCCTGTCTGCAAAGAACAGGGGTGTTGTGGCTTAAACCTGGCTGGCAGCCAGGCACCACGCAGCCACTTGCTCACCCTCCCCTGCCCAGGGGATGGAGGACAGAATTGGAGGGGTACAGGTAACGAGACTTGTAGGTCGAGATGAAAACAGTTTAGTAATTGAAATAAAATAAAATAGCAATAATAGAAAATACAATGCAATTGCTCACACATACACCCACACCCCCCAGTGCCCAGCCTGTCCCTGGCTAGCGATCCCAGAGAAGAGAGAATCCTGAAACCACAATCCTGGAGGAGTGAGAGCTTCCCAGCCAACCCTCCTCTGTGCACCGAGCGTGACGTTACATGACATGGAATATTCCACTGGCCAGTTTGGGTCCGTTGCTCTGGCTGTGCTCCCTCCCAGCTTCTCATGCACCTGCACACTGGCAGGATAAGGGAAGTAGGAAAGTCCATGATTTTCTTAGTAACAACTAAAAACATCAGTGTACTATCAACATACTTCTCATACCAAATCCCACACTGAATCCAAAACACAGCACTGTTCTAGCTACTAAGAAGAAAAATTAACTCTATCCCAGCCAAAACCAGGGGTTAATCAGTGAAGTGTCAAATTGTACTTTGTAAACTGCTCCTATTATTTGTTTATTACGTGATGCCACATCCACAAAAACAGATTTTTGGTCAAGAGTTCAATACTTACATAATGCTGACTCCCAGCTACCTGCTTTAAACAACATCCCTTATCTCATGGGCTAACAAAAGGAAAGTGACTGAATTCCCCCAGAAGATAAAGCAGACTGCATGGAAATAACCTGCCGAAGTATCTTATTCCCACACTAATGTTAGTAGAAAAGAAATAAAGATGAAAATATTTTGGTTTTATTTTTGTGCCTTTTATCACAATTGATTCGAATAGTACCATCACTATTTAGCCTGTCACAGTTGTTTTTTCTAAAATGTGAAGTCCTACAAAATCTAAAGTGGAAAAGTATCTTATAAGTTGTTAAAGTATAAGCATGCAAAGACTTCTAGATCAAATTTATTCCTTAGCAGGCTAGTTTTGAAGGAATAAAGCAAACAGTTCCAGCCAACCATCTTTTAATACAATATAAAAAAATTATTTAGCAACTACCAACAGTGTCCGGTTTCACATATTATGCTCAGACTGAAAATTCAACCAAATTTTTTAAATTGTCAAAAATACCCCAGTTACAGGAGGTTCTTGTTTGCCTCCAAGGTGGGAGTCATGATTCTTTTCTCTTACACAAATTTAGACAACTGTGTTCTCTCTTCAGCCTCCTGGCCATCTGTAGAGATGAGGAGGTGTGTACAGATGTGGGCTCAGAGCAGAACAAGCTACTTGTCTGAGCTCATATTTTTGGCAGTCACCAATTTCACCCTCACCCACCAGAATCAAAGAAGTTATCAGCTTTGTCTCCCCCCACCTTCCCAGTATTTGCCTGCCTTTCTGGCTTTTCTAGAACACTTGTCACCATATTTACCAGAGTACATTTATTACTGGTTTTAAAATAACAGTTTTTGTAACAGAGGGAAAGATTTCAGGTCTTTATAGGGGAACTTCAGACATGAAGAACTGAAATTGTGCAGTGAATCAGTGGCAGAACCTGAAAAGGGGCCAAATGCTCCCCTAATCAATACTTTCGGTTTAATCACCCGACCTTCTTCACTGGATCACAGTGTTGCTCTGTGCCTGGTATTAAAGAGTTTACTCACCGGGCTTTTTACCAGCTTCCAGTTTTAGAAGGAATGCTCACAATTATTCTGGGCTTGAGTGTGATGCGCACAACATAAAATCCCCGGTTACTGTGCATAAGCAGTGCTACATTTCAAGCCCAGTGATACGCTCTTTAAGGCCATCCAAACGGCACAGCTGATTACTTTAAAGAAATAAATTAAGTCTCTATATGATTAAAGACAGCATGACCAGGTAACTAAAGAAGCCCTAATCTATTTGTTAAGTCCAATTATCTAGACATCAAAAGATCACGAAGCCTTAAGACATTGAGTAGCTGCTTACCAAACATTCTGAGCTCTCTGAAAAGATGACAATCACTAAGAATCTATGACATGGAAAAGGTGTTCTTCAAAGCAGAGGTGGGGAGAAATCAGTTCTTGGGCATTTATGTTTTCCTCTCATTTTCTCTCATCAAGCTAAACCAGCTATTAGAGTGAAGGGAAAGAGATCAGGATTGGAAGTGGAAGAGGAGTAGAAATCCAAATGTTGTAAGTCTCCGTACCATATGCATTTACAAACTAACTCCAGCAGATAGCTGAGCTTACATCTGAGATCTCCTTTCTCAGCCTAGCAATGTCAAAAAATCTTCATGAGGCAACTAAGATGAGCCTAACCTCCTTCATTTGAGTTACGAGTCCAGCCACCAGCTCCAATAGGTTCTCAGGTAGGATTTCAGTCTAATTTACTTATGGGGAGGGGGGGAAAATCCCCAGTTCTCACGGCACTTGCAGTTCAGGAAAGCAACCACAGAAGCCAGGAACTGAGACCATACAAATTTTTCTTTCTCTTTGTTTCAGGGTGAGGATTTACATAACTAACATTCATCTGAAGTATTGCTAATTAACAGAAGACCCCCACTGAGGCACATCTTTCATGTCTCTATATAAAAAGAAAGGGAAAAAAAAAAGCGCCAGTCACGTTTCTAGAATCCACCTGCATAGTACAATCCAACCTGAAAGTTCTCTTGCTAAAGTCAGTCCAGCCTTGGCTCTGGGGTGCACAACTACCGCAATGTATGATATTATGGGGCTAAACACTTCCCAGATATTTATGGGTATCTTCCAATCCTCAGTCTTCTCTACAAGCTCTTTGTAGTCCTCCATATCATCTTCCACGGATTCCTTGCAGCCCCTTCTTCCAACCATCTTAATTGGAGCTCCATGTTCCCTACTTGTCCCATCATACCACAGCCCCCATCATTCTCTGGTACTTCACTCCTTGAAGACACAGATTATGCACCTACAGCTCCCCCTTCTACTCCAGAGACTGTTCCTTTAAAGTAAATGTTCAAAAATTGTCATATTATACAAACTACAGCACCCCGTAATCAGAGAAGAGCAAGCTTTCGTATACAAAGAGCTGCCCCATCAGCAAAGAAGAACTGAAAACCAGGAATGACAACTTTTTCTTGTCTTCATACTGGAAAATTGATGTCTTCAGCCAGATTCAGCATCAGTTACACACCTACCAGAACATCACTCAGCTCCCTCAGAGCGCAGCTGGAAAAACCAGCCATGCAGGCCGTGCTCTCAGGGCTTGGGACCGGATAATTAACACCACATAAATAGCTGTTATTTAAATTCAACTCCAAAATTGATTCAATGTTAACACACATTAGTCAGCACTTTCAGATCCACTGATAACATGTTATTTGTTTCTATGGTTAATAAAAACATCCGCAACCCAATCCCATTCATCTTATCTACAGCAGGTTACACCGTTGGACCCCGATGCTCACGCTACATTCTGTAACAGATAAACAGGGCGCCGGCTTCGCTCTTGACAGCTGACTCCCATAAGGCAGAGAACGCAAATGCCTTTTTTTTTTTTTCTTTCTTTTTAATACAAGCTGTAATTTGTTACATGGGCTGATTTGTACTGCCATAACTGTAGGCTTTCACCCAATCTCCGGGTGATATGTTTAGTACAACTGTTCAACGTCTTGCTAAGCAGGCTCCAAAAAGACCATTTAAGCTAAATACCTTCTTTATTTGGGGATATACCAGCTAGCAATTTTAAGACCATCACCTATTTCAACAATGGCAACTAGATTCAGTGGGGTGTGGCATGCTGGCTTCTTTCCTTGCTGCATTTTGTACACTCTTTTTAAAGAGCAAACATGAGAACATTCAAGAGAGATCTCGCGTTTGTGGAAAGGGTTAAAAAGGCTCTCGGTAACAATGTTTTGGCTGCTAAGCCATAACAAAAAAACAAAGCCACCCAACACCCTGCAACATGTAATGACTTTTTGTATGCCTCCTCCAAGATTAACCGTGATTTATCACAAACCACTGCTACAGGACCTACCCCACTCCCTTTAAAATATAGACTATAAAAGGTGTATCAGTTTCACAGTGTCACTGGCGCTAGCATAAACCATTTTGTAGCAAGGTCTCATGAGGCAATCGGCAGTGCTGCATGCCCAAGACGACCCTGCTCCCAGGCCTCAGGTTTCCTCGGCCGCTACAGCGACTGGTTTGCCAAAGCTCCTTTCTAGAAACACAGAGCACTTGCTTCCAGACAGACCAGCTTGTGCATCTGGGCTTCACACCCCCTGCAGCCTGGTTATGCTTTTCCAGGAAGGCAGGTACTGCCAGCTGAGAACAAGGATTAGAGGAAGAGTTTGTTTAGGGTCATAGTCAACGCAGTCCATCAGCCTGGGAGAGCCATTTCCACACGCAACATCACACCTCTGTCTCAGAGAATACTAAAGGCTCATTAGGACCCAATACTTAAAATCCTATGCTCACACTGTGATTTGCTCTACAAGCCAAATAAGAAACGTGTTTAGTCTGTGTCTCCCCTCCGAAGAATCAGAGGAAACAGAGAAGGCCTCTGAAACCAGTTTGCCCTTTTCGTCTCCTACTATGGGGCAATTTCCAAGAGGCAACATCAGCTTCTCACCATCGAGAGAATACCATCATACCCTGTCAAGCCAAATGCCAAGTTCTGCTTCAATCACTGTTTCACTTCTTCAGCACTAACTACGTCAAAGCTTAAGGTCTAAAATCTTAATCAATTCTGTTTTCTAAGATTTCTTCAAGTTCTGTGATATCTCATGATCACCCGCTAGTAGGAGTGTTCTTCCCAACCAGATATTCAAACATCTAATTTTTCAATGAAGTCAAAGTAAATGCACAAGAACAAGAAGCAGCAAAATTTAATTTACTGTGATAGCCAGACACACCCCAATTTTATTTTTAAGCATACAATTAAGAGTAATTTAATTCCCTATGTAGACATTACATGAAAGAGAAACATTACTGTAAGAAGAGCTTAATGCTATTGGTACACAAACCTTATGACAGATAAATTAGAGCCTAGTAAAACAGCATATAATTTACATTTTTGTTATGTCAATCACAAGTAGCATCTTGAGGCTCTTATAGTAAGCGAAACCACAACATAAGAAAACTAATTTAAATCAACCCATGCAGCAGAATCACTTAAGTTTCCACAATCCAAGAGATCCCCTAAAATGAGTCAGGAATTGGATTTCATTAAGATTATTCCCCTTCATCATTCATTTACACCTTTAATTTACCAGCATATTATGAAAATGTTTTACTACAAAAGTTATAAAGTTTTGCATAGTTATAGAAAAATCAATGCAGTAAACCAACAGGGACATGAGTTTTAATAATCCATGGCCTTTATTACTCAAGAAGCCAATCAGCAAATGTGCAGGTGCCCAGTAACACAGCGGCCCCGCTCAGCTGCATGGGAAATCCACACACTGGATTAGTCTCAGAGTTTGCAGTTTCAGCTCGCAGAAGGAAGGACAGAGCAGCCAGCCCCATGCTTTACATTCCTCTCAGTAACGGCAGAATAAATGACATAGCCTGAATTTTTTTTTCTTACGCCTCTCCTATAACCAGCACCTTGCCTACATTCCAGCACCCTGTAAGAAATCACCAGGAAGGTCAGTATACGCATTGCAAATCAAAAGTATGAACACGAGGCAACAGACCAACGTGGAGTGGGGGCCAAGAATTCTCTCAGTCCTCTCCAATGCCACAACATTTAGAGTGAGGGGACCAGAAAAATAATTTAGCTACAAAATAAGTCCAAAAATCCCAGGTGCAAAAAGTTTACATTAACTCACCCATACCATTTGTAAGAATTCCTATGTATGCTTTTTCTTAAAGGCACGTAAATTAAGGCTGTCAAAAAAGTTAATAAACGCTGGCCCTCCGTGAGCTGACACAGTGTATGTGGCATTATCTGTGCTTTCTGTCATCATCGCTCAGTGGAAGACTTGCACATAAGAAGGAAAAACTATGCAAATGCCAAGAAATGCAGTAGCACAACTGAAAAAATATTGTCTCTAGTCTTGTACCTTGTATCTATTTAATAAAAAAATATAAGCAAATATTTTCAGGTAGGGCAGCTTAGGCTTATGTTTCCTTAAATATGAAGTACAAAGTTTCTATTTCAAATCACACTGCAAGTACAACAAATGTGCTCAAACTGTAATTTCTACAGAAATATTTGAGACTCGCTTTTTTTCCTGCTATTTAAATCCGTAACTGTTTTTCATGTTGCTTTAAACAGTAATTTTCCTTGTGATTTCATCACTGCAGCATATACAGCACTAAAGCAATCTTTACTTGCCAATGTTGCTCAGTTTATAGCAAATCCAGGACACTGCATCAGCCAAGTGCTGCTCACGTGTATGTTGTCAGAACAGAAAAGTCCTCCCTCCCCCAACCTCAACACGAAGTAAGCTACAGAGACCCAAATGCTCTGCTGAAGTCCTCTGCTGGCACGGCTAGACCTGCCAGAAATCCTAACTCACCAACAGCTGAAAGTTAGCCTCGCGAGGTGCAGAGCGAACCTCCGCATTCTCACTCGCCTAGCATCTCCCTCAGATGGCCAACACATCCCCGGGTGCCTTCCTCTCAACTGCCTCGAGAACTCTCCCTCACCCAGCCCACTCTAGAGAAACACAAACCTGCCACTTTTTTACTGTTCCAGATTTACACTTCGGCGTGCTGGCCACTTCCAGGTGTACGTACAGCACCACAACCAAGGACGAGACTCTGCAAACTTTGATGTTTTAACAGATACTTCAACAAGCATGCTCACGGTGGCTTTTTACACACTCCAAAGCTTGTTAACCAGCCAGGGCATTTCCTTCTCCACTCTTTCCAGCCATGGATGTGCTCTTCAAAGAGCTCTATTTACATGCCAAGTTACAAAGTTCAGCTGCTTCCAAAGCAACGTGGAAAAAGCACAGCTTTTATGACTCTACAGTGAGGTTTTCCACAACATGAGGCAGCTTCTTAGACTCCTTTTATTATTTTTTTTTTTTAATTTCCAAACAGGATTTCACAGTTAAAAAGAAAAAAAAAATAATCTCAGTCCACCCACAGGCCTTTGAGAAACATTAACCGAGGGGCTTGAAAAGAAGAGAGCTCTGCAA